CAGAGTAGCTGGGGAGTGGGAAGATGAGAACTGGTGAGTGGGTAGTACAAGTTGAATACGCGGAGTATCTGTGGAGCTGGAAGATGAACACTGGCGACTGTGTCGTACAACTGTAGTACGCGGAGTAGTTGGGGAGCTGGAAGATGAGAACTGGCTGCCTGAACTTACTCGGACACACACACAGACAGAGACGCATATACACACGGACATAGACACACACACACAGAAACCCACACACTACCTCAACTCCCTCGACTTAACACTTCACACTGCACACTTAACACATAACTCACACTCTGACATCCTACGTGATGACAAATGCTTTCGGGTCACTCGTCGTCTAGTTTTCTAAAGCTTTTTGCATGGGTAGCTTTCTGAAAAAGATACATATAAACTCACATAGGTTTGTTTGTCTACTGCCAAACTCTCTCAACTCCTGAGCTGAGCCACCACACTACCAAAGGTTCTGCAGAGGGAGGCTGACCTCAGCAAAGATTGGATGAACAAAGGATTCAACAGGTTTGGCCCTGACCCAAACAAGAACATCTGAGAAAGCTTCTGGGTCCTTCAAAGGATTTTGCTATTGTTTATTGTTTCAGCTTGAATGATCATTGGAAACTGTTTGAATCTTTCAAAGTGTCAATCCTTCAAAGGATCAATCTTCTGAGTCCTTCAAAGGACTGAGCTACTGTTTCTGTTTCATGGCAAAGCTGTTTGAATTCTGAGCCACATCACCTTCTGAAGAAGGTTCTTAACCTCAGAAGAGACAGATCACATCAACAGCTTTGAAACTGACTGCAAACAGGTTTCTCAACCGTGACTGGAAAATATATATTGGCACTTACATGTATTTCTCTGAGACATGTTCTGACTCCCTCAAAGGATTGAGCTATTGCTTTGTGCGATTCCTTCAAAGGATCAATCTACTGTTTTGGTGTGCAGTCAAACTCTGACAAATCCTTCAAAGGATTGTTTTTTAAATGTCATGGCCAAACTCTGACACATCTTTCTTTGACTTTGTGGCAGCATCCTTTTTGACAGCAGTCTGGATTGCTTTCAGGGCTCATTGCTTTCAGTCTCATTGCTTTCAGGCTCAGGTTCAGGATTCGGTGGCCCTCTGGGGATGCCACTTGGCGGTGGAGGCAGTGGCCTAGCTCGACTCCTTGTTCTGTGCCAAGGAGGCATAGGAGGCATTGCCTTTGTCTTGACCCCAAGGGGTCAAGGTAGGGGTCAAGTCAATGATTGTAGGTCCACTTCGAGGTGGCGCATCTCGAGCTGCAGCCAGAAACACTGTGATGAACCTTGGAATGTCATCCAAAGAGACTGATGAGCCACCATATCCAGCACTGCTGCTGGATGAGCTGGAGGGCACAATTAGGCTTGGCATTGGTGGCCAGGTTGAGGGTGCCTGGCCAGCTGCTGCTTCTTGGAGGGCCTTCAGGTCTGCAGCTGCCTTTTCTTTTGCAGCTTTGTCTGCAGCTGCCTTTTCTTCTGCAGCTTTGTCTGCAGCTGCCTTTTCTTCTGCAGCTTTGTCTGCTTTGTCTGCAGCTGCCTTTTCTTTTGCAGCTGGAGGGAGTACTGGACGAGCTTTGGCAGGAGGCGCTTTGGAATCTTTCGTACCAGATGCTTTGGATTCCTCCACCTGTTCCCACTCCCACTTCCAGCGTCCAGCAGCATCTTTGAACCACTGCTTCCTCCACTGCAGCGGTTGGCCTGTTTTGGGATGTTTTCCCTGTTTCACGGCACTGATCCATTGCCTCCTCTTTTGGCCTCCCCCAGATTTTTTGTGCCAGTTCCACTTGCCAGCATTGTCATCTTGCGAAGTGGTACCTTGGGAACTGGTGCCTTGGGAACTGGTACGGGGGTCAGGCACAGATGCAGCAATGGCTTTGGCAATGCGCTCTACCTTTTTGGCTTCCATCTGGTCAGGTGTACCTGGTGGTGACTGTAACGCAATCCTCAATTCCATGGGCTGCATCCTCATGAAACTCAACTGACAGTGTGGATTCATGCACACTGTCTGTCGAAAATAGGAGGCCTGGCCGCAGCATGCGCATTGTCGCAACCAGTCTGTCTGCCCTGATTGGGTTGCTTCAGTCATTGCAAGCACATATTGGCGGGCAAGCTCTGAGCTCCAGAAGGAGGGCTGCTCCTCCATAGGAGCTGGTTCCTCCACCGTACTTGGTGCAGTGCCCATCTCAGGACAGCACAGCCAAATACAATTTTGAATTGCTTGGAAAGTTTGAAGCTTTAAGCAGCTGCAGGCACAAACAGCTCTCCAAAGAGCTGCCAAGAAACCATGTCCTGCAAAAGGCTCTGCTTGACAACTGGGGTTCCAGCAATCCTCAAAAGGACCACTTCCTCCACAGGAATTCTCCACAGCCTCTGCAAAGGATGGCAATCTACACATGGCATGTCCTGCACAGGACCTGCAAAACCTACACGTGACATGCAACCCTACCAAAGAACACGCAGAGCTGGCCTACAAAGGACAGCAATCTACAAAAGAAGACACCAGATTCCTACAAAGGACAGCAATCTACAAAAAAAGACACCAGATTCCTACAAAGGACTGGGAAGGATGACCTGCAACAATCCTACAAAGGATCTATAGCCTTTGAGCAGCTCTTCATGTTCCTGCACCACTTCCTCCATCGACATTGCTTTGAAGGCAGCACTAACACCATTGGGAAGCGCAAACCTCAAAACTTTACACAAATCCTCTGTTGAGGCATCATTCTTTCTCCTGTCCATTTTGGACTATCCACTCCACTCTTGAGCATGAGAAACTCTCACACACACACATACTTCTTTGTAATCCTCTAAAGGATGCCAACCAATTCACACCAAAGCAGACAATCCTCTAAAGGATTTGATGCACATCCT